CGCATCATAAAGTTTATGAGTATCAAGCACCCTAGTTAATGTGTCATCTCGGGCCTGTAAAACTATATCACGGGAAGCAAACTGTTTGCCTGTAACAAAGGCTGCGACTTCATTTATTAACGGTGCATTATACCACCTTTCATGTTCCCCACTTGGTGTGCGATCGGGGTGCATCACCAACCTATAATCATCTCCCGGCATTCTTTCTAGTGYKGKTTTGRAAGTATTGATAAGGCGATTATGTTCATGCAACATTCTCTGGATTTTTAAAACCGTTTCTCTTTCGATTCCTTGTATGTTTTGACACCTGCGATCAGCTTCGTTTTCTTCATCCCCTATGAAATAAAGTTGCAAAAACTTTGGTTGTTCATTATTTGCGGAAAGTAAGGAACCAATCCTGTGATACACCTGTCCTTAGATGGTAAAAGTAGGAGAAAATCGAGGCACCTTACCTACACCAAATGACGTCATCTGAAAGCAAGAATTATACTTTCTAATCCTGCTTAAAAACCGGCGCTATTCGTTACTGTCGTATAAAAGTAAAGATTTACGAGGTTCCTCTGGCTCGCCAAGTAATGGAATTTTAACCTTTCCACCAGAACAGCACATGCCTGAAGTTTCTTCTTTCCATTTCAGTGCTTCACAATATCTGCATCTTTTTTCCATTCTCTCAATGATAACCAATCGGTGATTACCAAAGTCGATCAAAGGGTCATACTCAAAAGCGTCACCATTAAATGCCTTCCACGTACTCATTAAAAGCGTACGTCTTCTTTCTGCCTGCCGTTCAGCATTTGAAAGACATCGTCTTTGTGCGGCACTCTCTACCGTAATCAATTGCGCGTGACTTTCGGCATCTAAAACTCGACGTGTCTGAGTCTGTTCCACTGTCTCAGAAGCTCTTTGAAATGCGTGGCGTTCAGCATCTAGGGTCTGACGGGCCTGAGTCTGCGTAAACGTCTCAGAGGACCTTTGAGATACGTCGCGCTGAGAATCTAACATCTGACGCGTGTGAGTCTGCTCTTCAGATTCATTGCTTCTAGCAACTTTTGCAGTTCGAGCTCTGCTAGAACTACGACTTAGATTGCATTTACATTTGCGTGGCATATCGATATATCTAAATATCTAACTCAATCAATAACGTATTGAAATTTTAATATGGTATTTAT